CCTCTGGGGATTGTAAGTATTCCCTGAGCATCCAGGCATTTTTTTTTGGCTTAGTCTGCACTTACAGACACCGCTGGGATCCATCTGCCGTGCTGGGTGCAGGCTGCCCTTGCTGCTCCCCCTCCTGCCGTGATATGCAGGCAGAAGTGGGGTATTCCCATCCCCTGCACCTGTTTCTGGGGTCTGGAATAACCCTCAGCCCCAGGTAAATTCAGGGCATCTCAGAGGTGAGGATGTGGAGATGCTGTCCCATGGCCCTCCCTTGGCCAAGGCACCCACTGAGGGTTTGAAGTCTGTGCTAGTTTATCTGTTGGCAGTTTACTTTGTCAGTAAAGTGTTAAGTCCATCCTTCTTCCCCTAGTCAGAGGGCAGTTTGTTCATATTCATAAAAGCAGAGATAACAGGATTGACTTAAACACGTCTTTGACACAGAGCCAGCTAAGCACTTAAGCGGGGTTGCGGGGTTGGGGGGGGGGGGTGGGGGGGTGGGGGGCGGGCGGGGAGGAAGGATGCCCAGCTGTGCTCTGGGCTGAGGGACAGCACAGGCAGATGCGGGGCTTAGGATTTCTGAATTACTTCTACCTAAACGCCAAATTAATTTCCCAGATGCACAGGACAAGCTGAAATCCAGCCGAATTTCTTTGCATTTTATCATATTGGTTTCCTCCTCCAAAGTCCTTTGTTCCTTCTATAATGGATCTATCCATATATATCCTTCTACAGCGGAGGTAACAGCGAGATTTTTTTCAAGGCAGAAGCAACAGCTGAGCCTCTCACCCCCCTGCCTTTCAAAACTGCCTTTAGTGAGCATGGAGATGAAAGCCACAAGCACCAACCCTCCTCCATCTGTCTCAGCCAAAGAGAGATCCTCACCCGTGTGAGACAGCCAGTGAAAAGCCGGGTTGTGCAATAGCCGCTGAGGCATTCGAGGAAAAAGAATAATATTTAACAGTTCTGGCAAGAATGTGCCTAAGCCAGAAAGCTCAGCTCTCCTTGCTCTGGGCCAGAGTATGAGCTGGGCAGAGCCAGAGGGAAATTCTTTGCATTTTTAGGATGGGAAGGTGGAATTAAGGTAAAATGCTTCTGGGTGAGGGCTAGGATATCTGGACCAGCAAGCTGTCTCTTGCTTTTAAACATGACATTTGAATTGTATTCAGGGCTACTTTTGGAGTGGCATCAGGAAAAGCATTGTATTGGAAGTTCAGGGAGGGATAAAAAAAGACCCATTTTTGTCTCTGAGTGTGCCAGATCTCCAGTTAGCAGAGGTCAGGGCAGTATTACTGGGGACCTTGCTTGCTTGCACACTGACCCAGCAACGTGTATGATGTTGTAGGAAAGCTGCTGCTCACCGGGCAGGCCTTGTTACGAGGGTAAGGCAGCACAGATTGTCCCTGCTGCTGGAGCTGTGACAGTCTGCATTGCCTGAGGCTGTGCAGGATGGTGCTTGGCTCCTCTGATGTGCCCTGGGCCCCTGATGTGCCCCAGACCCGGTGCAGAGGGAGCGTGGCTGCAGCCACCCGGCTCAGTCCCTCCAGGCGATGATGTCTGACTGGTCTCTGCCATAGCAGTGATTCAGAGAAAAGCCTTGGTTTATGTTGTGGCTCACATTCAAAAGTAACATGAAAAGAAGTTTAATACAGGCTCCTAAATAGCACCAGTTTTCAGGGCTCAGGGCTCCTCTTCCTTCCTCCTCCTCCCACCAGCAGTCCCAGACACGCCGTGTGGCTCTGCTAGAAATTAAAGCATGGGAACCGCCGTAAGCCATGCTGCCGCCAAGGGAAAACCGGGCACAAAGCAGGCGCAGCCACCAGGACCCGCTTCTGTTCCTCTTGGAGCTCAGCAAATGCTGAGCTGTGGCCCTGCAGCACCAGCCCTGCTCCCCCCTGAGCTGCAGCTTTGGTCCTGGGCTCAGCCTTCATCCCGTGTGTGCGGCTGAGCCCCGGGCGAGGAGGCATTATTTCCGAGCTTCAAGGAACAAAGCAGGAACAAGCCAACAAGGAACAGTCAATGCAACTGTCAAACGATGACCAATTAAGTGCTATCGCTTCTTCTAATGTTTATCCACTGGCTACAGCAACTTCATGGCTGAGAGTTAGGCTCTGTACCAACACTTTGCGTGATGCAATATTTGATGGGTTATTTGATCCATGGCTCTCAGACAAGTACTGATTAAAGAAGGGCCCAGCGTGGGGCACCTGCTATGTACAGTAGTTCGTCTGCTTTGTACAGAAGCGTCCTGTTTTCTGCCTTTCCCTTGAAGAACAGCATTTTTTCCCCCCTGAAGGCACTGTTTGATTGCCACAGATTGGAAGCTTTTAAAAGGGACTATCTGTGTGAGTCACAGTTAAAGCCATAAATGAAAAACCAATAAAGCAATCTGAAAAGTGCTGTTTAATGGATTGAGGCAAACTTACTGGAAACAGGATACACACTGTTTCATCTTTAAATCATTAGTTCAAATCCAGATGCATTTGGGAGCAAATGACATTTATTCCCTGTCAATAGCTGTCAGAGAGAAGAAATTAGAAACGAATTTTACCACCCAAAAGGAGCTGCTGGTTTCTCTATGCTCCCAGCAGCAGTCTGATCATGTCTGAACGCCTTGTGGGTGTTAGGTACTCTTAAAAACTCAGTCCTTACAGGTCAGAGCCCTTCCTGGCATGAAAATGCCTGTCCTGCATGTAGATACATGCTCGCATGGCTGCCTTCGCTTAATTTTCTCAGCAAATAAAACATGCATGAGCCACACCACTTTCACCCCTCTTGATAGCGATGCTTCTCCGTCACCTCAGTGAAGCAGGAGCCAGAAGAAGCGCTCATCCGTATCGGCTCTCTGGGCAGCACCGGCAGCGAGCGTTGGCTCATCAGTATCGGTGGAAACCACGTCCTGACAGGCTTGTAAAAGTTGTATGATCGGTGCTTTTCAAGAGCAATGAGGCAGGAGGTAATGGGCTATGATTAATTCTTTCATCCTGACGGTATCGCTGTCAGCTCAGGCACTGTCGCTCCGCATCTCGTGAGGCTGGGATGATGGCAAAGCCCAGCTGGTTATCTCCCCAGCCATGCAGGATGTGTACCGTCTCTCTGGGAGCGAGTCAGACCTGATTTTAGGGCTTTTGAGATTGAAAGGGGTTGTCCTCCCACACGGTGGTTTCCATCCTTTTTATAACAGGGTCTCGCTGCTGGTGCTGTCTCCCAGCCCTGGTGTCCCTGGCCAGCCGAGCCCTCACCGAGTCTGGTGTCACCAAGTCAGTGGTGGCTCTCGTTAACTGCCAGCCCCATGCTGTTCTGCCCCGCTGCAGTGTCAGCAGAGGGAGTGCCCCGGCTGCAGGAGGATTTGGGAAGCAGAGGGTAAAGGACACAAACATCCATCAAGGATGAGCAGGGGTGAGTGTCGATTGCCACTGCTCAGTGCAGAGGCAGCTTTTCCCAGACTGAATTTTGGACTGGCATCATGTTAAATCCCTTTAGCTGATTCTATTTTTTTGGCAAGCAACACAAATTTGGGGAATGTCCCACGGAATTTGTTCCATTTGGTATGACCCGGCAGCAGCACTGACTTTTCTGCAGGGTGTTTGTCTGCATACGGTAATGGCAGCTGGGCCAGAGCTCCTCTATGTAAAGAAGAAATATGTTTTCGGTTTGATTCAGCGTTTACTTACCACTATATATTAATGTTAACAAGTCAAATTCAGCCTATTTTCCTGCTCTTTAGGGATAAAAGCTGTCTTTCTGCATAGAGCACTGAGAAGGAAGGGGTTAGGATGGCCTAAGGCCAGTCTTTGTTAGAGGTGAGTTAATTTATAGAAGTGTCTCCTCATATAGGTACAGTTCTAGTGGCAAAGGGCTGGTGCAAATCATCCTTACTCCTTGCCTGGCTGCTTCACCCAGCTGTGGGTCAGAGGAGTTGTGAGATGTGCTGGCAGCCAGCTCAGGCTCGAGCCTATGCTCCGGCCTGATGCTATTCCAGATGTTTCCACAGTTGCACACCTGGTGAGCACATGCCTTGTGCTTCCCCGCTGCCACAACACAGGTGTGGGACACCAGAGGACACCTGAGCTCTGAGACAGGCTGTACTCCCTGCCGTCCTGTGCTGTCAGCACTTTGCGTCTATGAAAATGTTTAACTGTGGCTTTTCTCAATTTATCAGATGGTTGCAACACTTAAAACCCGTTTGCCCAGGACAACGGGACTCTGTGTTTTGGATGGTTTCAACTGCAAACTGACCTCTGAAACCTAAGCCAGTGGGTTGCATTGGGTGAGGAGTTTTATTGTTAACTTATTCTCACAGTTCAAGCCTTTACCTTTCTCCTTTAGCAGTGCTGGCATTGTGGAGTGAGCTGTGGCAAAACCCAGCTGTTCCCAGCTACCAACATCTGTCTGGCGCAGTTGTCCAGCCGTTAGTGCACATGGGCTCCTCCAGATGCTCACGTGGCGCCACCGCCCAGATGCGCGCCCCGCCCTCAACAGCTGTGCGCTCCAGATGTTTTCCCGCCGTGCCCGCAGGGGTTAACGGCTTTAGCCCCGCCCCACGGGCTGTCAATCTTCAACGCCGGCCCAACCGCGTCCCGCGACACATCGAGGCCCGCGACCAATCAGGGCGTGGTTGTGATTTCCATGGCAGCCGCAGCCGCGCGGCTGAGGGGAGGTAGTGGCGGCGGCGGCGGTGGCGCAGCCGGTCCCGGTCCCGGTCCCGGTCCCGGTCCCGGTCCCGGTCCACTGCGATGGTGCCGGAGGGGAGCCGCGGCGGAGGAGGGGCAGCAGTGCTGCTGCTGCGCGGCTCCAGCCCGGCCCTGGCAGCGGCCACCACGGCGCGGGGGCGGTGGCAGCGCAGGTGAGGAGCCGCTGCCCGCCGCGCACCTGAGGCGGGAGGCTGCGGCGGGGCGGAGCGGGCCCCGGGCGCGGCCGTTCGCCCCCCCCACCCCCCCCCCCCGCCCGCGCAGCGCCGGCGGCAGCCGCCGCGCTCCGCCCTGCCCCGCCCGGCGCCGGGGCGGCTCCGGTGCTGCCAGAGCCGTTGCCTTTGTCGGCCGGGCTGGAGGGTGGCCGCGGCCTGAGGCGGCGGCGTTTGGGAGCGGGTCGGCGCTGCGGCCGCGCCGTTCCCGGGTCCCTCAGGCGCCGCTGCCGGGCCGGGGCGCTCGGCTGTGCGGGCACCGCCGCCGGTCCCGTAGCTGCAGCCGGTCGCGCCCGAGGATGGGCGGCGGGGCCGGCTCGCTGCTTCCCGCCGGTGCCGTGGCGGGGTGCGAGGCGAATCCGAGCCGGGTAAATCGGAAAGTTTCCGTACGGGCGGGCTAAGTTGCTTCGGGAGCTCCCAGCGCTCCAGATGTCTTTGTTCAGCCTCTGAGAGGTGTCGGGGGAGGCTGGCCGCGGGTGCTACGCCGCTGTGAGTACCCGCGGCAGAGTAGGGGAGGCACAGAGGAACAGTTTTGTAGCACCGCGTTTATATCTGCAAGCGCAACGTATAGTAGTCGTGTGAGTATTCTAGCAACAGTTTTATAGCCGTAGCCCTAATACGTCTATTGGCTGGAAGTGATTTTGCTGGAAGAAGATATTTGCATATGTTATTGTGAACATGTTGTGCAAATTTTTGTAGGTATATATCTTTTTAGTATTATTAAGCAGTTTGATTATTTGAAGTACCTTATTGTATAATGGAGTGCTGAAATCCCTATTGGGAGGCACAGCATGCATAAAAGTACGCAGAAGAGTACTTCATCTGCAATTAGTGTCCTACTGACTTTTTTTCCTTTTTATTTTTCTTTGGTTTTTTTAATCATAAATTTTAGGAGCATAAGCTTATGTGTGTTGCCAGTAAAATTCCTGTTGTTGAATTGTTCTTCAGTAGTAACTGTAGTATTTAACAAATACTCTGTATTTTTGCATAACTGGGAGGGTGTTGGTAACTCTTTTTTAACCATTCAGTATGCAAATCCAGATAACTTGTTTTATGTATTCTATATGTAGGTAGAGCAGAATGTATAGAGTTCTTTGTTTTCATTTGAAGCAGAACATTTTAATTAGTTGTAGTTTAAACTCATTTTAGACATCTTAAATGTTAAAAAACCCAAAAAATACTGGATTTTGAGTGCTTTGGTAACCTTATTGGCTATTTCAGATCTGGTATGTTTTTTCTCTTGCTTGTTAAGAAAGCTTGTAAGGTTTAGTAGATCCAGAGGAAGGGCAAATGCCTCTGAATTTCTCTTTGCACGCACATGAATACATATATTTGTGTGTGTTTCTATATATCTGTCTAGTGGAGGATTATGAAGAAAGTGGGGTTTTGGGGGAGAGGGTGTGTTAACTGGTAAAAGGAAAGGGTACAGCTTGCTTCATCTTTTACCAACTTATTATATGAGGGAAGTGCATAAATATGAGCACATCTTTTTTTACTCCTTGTAATGTGATTGTACTAGAAATTGTGGAATTATTACGTAGTTGTGTACAGTCTTCCCCAATATGAAAACTTCAGATTCAGCAGTAGCCTGTGGCATTTACAATTTTTCAGAACTCTAAATTAAAACAACCCCCCCAAAAAGTGTAGGATCAAGGGAATGCAAATGTGTGAACAACATTCCCTTATAGTTCCTACAGTGTGAACTATAAGGGAATGTTGTTCGCACATCTGCATTCCCTTACACTAATTTTGTCCAACTTTGTCCTATCATTCTACTTGTCAAACTGTTCTGCACAAAGACAGACCTCATTAGGTCTAGTTGGCTGTCTTTCATCCCAGATGCTTTCCACCAGGTGACTTACTGCTTCTTTCTTCGTGGAGATGAATAAAAATTGTTCATTCTATTTTGTCATCCTTTTTTACTGTATAACTAATGGGGGGAGAAATCTAGAGAAAACAGCTTCAAGGGCCTGAGAGCCATGTTGACTTAAAGCTAAAGATGGACTTGGTACTCAAGGCTTTTTGATTTTTATTTTTAACTTTGCTGAGTATTTTGCTTGGGGTTTGCTTGCTTGTGCTGTTTTTGACATTCCTCTCTCAGATTCTGTTACGTGACTGGTAGTAATACATGATACCCAGTCTTTGGGGAAATCATTAAGATGATTGTGCAAACACTGCTTTGAAGGCATAAAAATGCTTCCCAAGTACTTAAATGATTTTTGAATCATTCTTCTAAATGAGCCTACCATGGTTTGGACAGCTTCTTGAAGTGGTACGCTGTGAATATTTCAGTCGTGTTCCTTGGTGTTGTGCTATACCATTATCATGTAACTGTTGGCTTTCCTATGCAATCTTCTTTGTGGTGAACAACAGCGAATGACCAGAAACAAAACAGTTCATTGAAGAAAAGGTTTTATGGATTTTCTTTATTTAACTTTCATTTAGGAATGCTGAAAGACTAACGTTGAATGCAGGGCTTCTTACTTGGACTGTTTGAGCTTAATATAGAACTTCCTCTAAGAAATATATTGTCTCAAGTTTTCTAAAAGTATATTGTTTTGAAGATGGTTCTTGAGAATTTTCCAGTATTTATTTTTACAGAGAAAAAGTGAATGTGAAAGAAGAGGCAAGAAGAGGCAAGGAAGATACTGACATGGTTGACACTTGCTTCTTTAAGTCATAGCAGCATTTTAATTTCTCCTTTTATACAGTCAAGAACAGAGAAGAGAGTGACAATGGATAACAACCGTGTAGGATTTTTTTCCATTCGGCTTAGCTACCTTCCTACTGTAAAATGGATTTCCTCTGCAGATTTATACTGCAAGTTTTGGGTATAGCAGTCAGACTGTGGTTGTACATCTGAAAGCATCTCTGAACTGTGAGAATCTTCTATTTCTGGCGTCTGTATTTTGGAGTCTACTGCATAAAGCCTTAGGAGGGGTGTCATACCCCATAGATTAAGGGATTGAGTAGACCTCCTACATAGGAAAAGAAAATCATAGGAATGTGGCAGGAGGACATGAGGGTAAACTAAAAGGAGTGTGAGGGGAAAGGTAACTTTCCAATAGTATGAGCTCTAGCATTCTTCCCCTCACCTCTCTGTCATGCTCCTGCTTTCCAGCAGAGATGAGAGGACACAGCATTTTGAGAAGGATGCCTATGAAGCCCGATGGCCTGTTGACACAGAGCTGAGCGTGATCTTTCCTCCCAGCATTTCTCCAGAAGTGTTGAGGTCAAACACTGATGAACACTTGGGTAGATGCAGGAACAAGTTATACTCACAGAAATCTAAGCCGTACTACTATACCTGCTCTTCCTAGAAAGAGATCTGGTTATCAAAATCTGAGCCAGAAGTTCAAGAGGTGGAAGCAGAGGACAAGCTAATCGCTGAAAAATGCTTTATGTATATACGTGTGGGGTGGAATTCTTTTGGTTTTGTTTGTTGGGTTTGTTTTTTTTTTGAGATGATTAATGCCACTGTTGTTCTCTTGTCAGCTTTAGAAAAAGCTGCCTGGTTGAACGTGAGAAGGGAGGTGGTCATCACTCTTTCCAGGCTTTAGAGTGAAAGTCTGAGCTCTAGAGTTTGAGGATTGCTTATTACTGGATGGTATTAGATCATATTTATTCCTCCGGCAGGGCATGCTTTAAACAACAAAACTGTTCTAACATAAATTACAAATGAATGACTTCCTCTTGACTAAGCTAGAAATGTTAAACGTTTTTTGGATGAACTTGAGGAAGAAAGTCTTGACCTGCTACATGTAGGGGGAGGGAAGTAAGGAGAGAGAATTTGTGTGCAGAAGAAGGAAACAAAGCAGTCATTTTTTTCTTTGCTAACATCATCTTGTGGCTGACTCATAGGCCTGACTTTTCTGGGAAAAAAAAATTGGTAACATACACTTTTGCTTAGCTGCACTTTCTTGTATTTTAACTTGTAGAGTCTAACTGTCTTCTTTTTGAGTTACACTTAAATCTTTCTAGTAATTTTAGTCTGTCATTTGAAACTGTTGCTGCTAAAGGCCTTCTTTATTGTTCTAGTCATCTTCAGCTTCTTCAACTTATGACTGTGTTGTGTGTGTGAAGGGGTTGTGTTTGTTTTGGGTGGGGTCCTTTTAGTGTTTTTTTGTTTTGTTTTGAAGTAATAGGAGTTGTCTGTGCTTTTAGGTGGAGTGGCACTTTGCTCTTCTTGGTCATAGTGGGTAAAAACACAATTTTTCACAGCTCTGAATGCTGACAGGGGATTGCTGATTGCCTTGTGATTTTTAAATGCTGTCAGAACATTAATTTTAATATTCCTTCAGGTTGACAGATGTGATCCAGAGTGCTTATTCATGTAGAGGGTGAAGGTGGGGTTTATTTGCAAGCTACTAGAAGGGCAGTAACTTGGATATGTCATACTTGACCCAAAGAGCTTTATATGTGACTTCAGGTACTGAAGGGAATTTGCTGGCTTGTAGAGCAGATTAGTTTGCTGAGGTGCTGTTTCTGACTGCTCCTCTGCTGGTTTCTATACAAAGGCCAGGTCTTGCCACAGTTTACAGCAGTTGCATGGTCTACATATTGCTTCCAGACAAAAAAAAACCAGTACAGAATGTTGTAGGAGAGCTCAATACTAGCTTTTTATGGTCTTGCAGCCTTTAGCATCTTTGAATTTAGCAAAAAAAAAAGTTACTACATCAAATGAAAGTATTTGTGGTTGGTTGGTGTGGGGTTTTTGGTGACGTGGATGGGTTTTTGTTGTTGTAGGTGAGTGGTCAATACTTACAGCAGTTCAGGATACTCACAGACTGCAACCCTTATTTGCATTCACAGCTGGAATTGTGCTGAGAGTGATTCATCATTCTGCTTTACCCAACCTGTGAATTGAGGATTTCAGCCTTCAGACAACAGGCTTTCCCCCATACTGCTGGTATCTGGGTTTGTTTTGATTTGATTTTTAAAGTGATATTCTAATACAAATGATCGATGTAAAACAGTTAATGCACTCAGTCCTGTTATATTTTTCTCTAGTGATCAGCTACCTAACTTTTGCATTTGGGGAATGTTAGTGTCTTTAAGGAGTAGTTTTTAGTTTGAAAGATGAAGATTTTTGAGGAGGGTTTATAATGTTAGGGATTGTATGAAGTGTAAATACTTGCATGTCTTGTGTGCACTGTGGCAAAATACCATTTCTGTTGTGTTAACTCTACTCTCAATTGAGTACTGATTTTTAACTAAATCTTTACTGTATCTAAAGCATTTAAATAGATTCGATGTACTATTTGGTAGTTTTAAGCTGAACAGTTTCCCCTTCCCTAACTGAGAGTTAGGTCTGCATGCTGAATCCATTCAGGAAGAGAGACTTTCTGATTTTTGGTGCTATGAAAGTATAGATTGTAGGATTTTATTTTCTTTCTTTTTGAGCACTGTTCAGATGACTTCCACTTAAATTTCTGGGACTTTGTTTCATTTAACATCCAGATATTTAAGGTGCAGTTAAAGACGGCTCTTCAGCAAGGAGAGGTATGTAAGTAGAATGAAACTTGTTAGAGTATTAATTGATTATAAGAGTGGTGTTCTGTCAAGAGAGCGTGGGAGCGCTTCCTTGGCCATTTCCTATAAAAAGAAGTGAATTACTTCTGAAGTTATGATTTCCAGTTTAATTTTTGTAACAAAGACTAAAAGCTGAACTTTCAGTGTGGTATTATAACAACTGTTGCTTGGAATAAGCTTTGTTGGTGTGAAGGGGCAAGACCTTCTCTTGCAGCTTGGTGACCGGCTCTATAGCAGGAGAAGAATATTGCTGTGACAGATGCCTGCATGAGGAATTCCCTTCCTCCCTCTTCTGCCCCTGCAGTGCTATGGAGCTAAGGGGGAATTCTGTTCTTTGCCTGTCTGCTGCTGTCTGTCCATACTCATGAAATGGGGACTATGAAGTGCAAGGCACTTGCCTGCTAAGAGTTGCAGGAGAATCCGCAAGGCAGCCTGCCTGCTGCTGCTGACTAGTTTGTGGATGCCAGCGGTCTGGTGAGGGACAGGTCTGGGGAGTCTTGCTTGGATGGTGACTTGAGAATTTCTGAGTCAATGGCTGGATTTGTGTGGAGGAAAAGGTGAAGTGGATAACGTTTTGGAGAAAGGGTAGAGAGTATGCATAAGCATGTTCTTCATTCAGGGATGTGTTGTGCATTGCTGACAGAGATGGAAAAGCTTGGAGGAAGCCAGTCATTTAAAATGGTGGTGGTACCTCAATACTTGGAGCTCTTCACAGTTAAAAGCATCTGTGATTCATACTGTTCAGGGAGTTATTTCAGCCCTGAAAAGCAAGCTCTTATTTCAAATTTCAATTAGAGTACTAATTTCATTTGAATTTTGAGAGGAAGAATCAGTTTTCATCCTACCTAATCTGAAAATCCAAAGCTGTTGAATTACTGAATGCAGGTAAAACAACTGTCTATACATTAATTGTTACGAATGGAAAAAGTACAGATACAGTATACAGGTTGTCATGAACAGATGAAGTCATCTGGGCAGCAGAGCAGCAGGTTTATCCAAGCCAGTGTTGGATATAACTCACTGGTATTCACTGTAAAACATGGCATATTCTTAGTCTTCCTTTAAGTGTTTACATTGGAATTCAGCAAACAGATTTTTAAATCTTTTGTTTCTATCTAAAAGTTTTGCTCAGACTCATATGCATGTCCAGAAGTCATCTAATATAGTTTTTGTTTTTCTTCTCATCTGTAAAAATGAAAATTACTTTTAAAGAATGCAATTTTAAGAATCCTAAATGAAAAAAAATAATTAAAAACCTTGGGTTTATTTTGTGTATCTTGATTTCAGATTTAATATCCTTTTGTTACAGCTCAGAGAAATAACTTTTGGAATTAAAAAAAGGGGGAATATAAAATATTTAGTAATAGATGCATTAACTGTGTAAACCTTTAATTCTGATACATGTCTAATTTATTTTCAAATACTGAGTTATTATAGAAAATAGAATATCTATTTGAAAAAAATTTACAGAATAAAATCGGTGGCTTTTGATGTGATAAAATTCACTTTATTCAAATAATAGTCATACAGAAAAAATTTTTTCTGTTGCAGACTAATCATCACTGCATAAATTGTAGATTAGAAAGCAGAATGAAAACTGTGTTATTGGTCCCTCACAAAACAGATGAGTTGTTGCCCTTGATTTGCAGCTTTACCTTTTTGTAATAGTTGTAAGGCTTTAAAACGGTCTGATTAATCTAAATGTGCTATTAGTATAATCTCTTTCTGGTTCTGCATGACATAAATTAGATTTCTTTTTTTTACAGTGTATTTTTATATTCCATGCTATAAATATGAAATTATTATAACCATAAACTTCATTAATGTGGGCTGCCATGATGCTTTCTTTATAAAGCATAGTTGTCTTACTGTTATTATCAGTTGACTTTTGATTTGCTACACGGGTTCTTGCCATAAACTTTTCTGCATAGTAATCATATATTCAGATTCTTGACTCTGAAGTGTTATCTTGGAAGGAGAAGACTCTCGCTGTCATACTAGCAAAAATAGAGTGTTATCTAGATGTAGTAGAAGAGGCTAAAAGAAAAAGAGCAAGCTTACCAGCACTACTTAAAATGAATCCAAACCTTCTTGTTTGAAGGTAGAATGCAGTATATACTTTAAACTGGCAGTGCTTTATTACATGACTTGAAATTATGCAAGTCTAACTCTTTTTTTAATTCTGCCCCCCCCCCCCCCCCCCAGGGTACTGATTGAGAGCAGGATCTATTTTTCTTCCCAATTTATTCAGTTTTTCAATATTTCAGTTAACATTTCTCTGGAGTTCAAAACACTGCATAAAATGTAGGGGGAAGGCTGGTGGGTTTTTTGTATTTTTTAAACAATGGAATAATGAATGGTTATGTTTTTGTTGGGCTTGGGTGGGGTTGGTTTTTTTGGGAGAGAGATATCTCTAAAGGGGCACATTTTAGGTAAAGAGAACAATACAGAATGAAGTTAGGATGAAATAATTAGTTTTCTTTTGTATATCCTGCTTTGTATTATTTAGATACTGGGATGGATGGCAATTTTTAAGTCATCATGGCTTGATTCTTTCGTTGTTGTTGTTCTTATTTAAATCAGGACTGATCTTAGTTTTGATCTTAGCCAACTTTAATCCTGGATTGTGTTTGTAGTTTTTAATGACTATAGACTTCTTTAATCAAAGCTTCCCTTGAAGTAAAATTTGAAGTTTCCCTTGTTGCAAACTATTTTTCTTCATTCCTTAAAAGCCTTGATCAAAAATTGGGCACTGTCAGTGTTGATATGTAACTGAAACATCTTTTATTATCATGTTGTATCCTGTGAATGAAATAGAGCATTTCAAGCAAAACAGGAGATAGTGTCGTTATGTGAAAATGTGACGAGTAGGATACTGTTACCATCTATTCAGCAAGCCAGAGTTACTCTAATACTTAAATTCTTCTGTGATTTCGAATGAGATTTGTGTGGGGTATGTTGTTCATTTGTTTTATCTAGGTGACTCTGGATCAGAGAGGTCATTTTTGGGGTCTTTTTTATCTGTAAAACCTCAAGTAAAGAAAAGTGGTTTCTTAATAATTACTTTTTTAATGAGTAGTCCCCCATGTAAATGATGTCTTTACTTTACAGTAAAAGTTTAACAGTAGCTATCCAGTGGTAGAACTCTTTCAAATATGTTGTTAAAATGTATCAGAGAACTTCTATGTAAATAGTAATTGTAGTTACAAATCTCATCATGTTTTGTGTTGCTTCTATAGGTAAACAAAAAGGCTTTTTATTATGGTATGATTGTATTTAGACTTTGCATTTACTGGTCTTAACACAACACCAGGAGATAATAGTTTTATTGAATACTGTCAGGTATTTCTGTTGTTGATTTATCATAGTAGTTCTTAACAAAGTTCTAAATTTCTTCTTTTTTTTTCCCCCCCCCTCTCCTCACCAGACCTTAATTTATTTTGGATTAAGATTCCCATGGCATGTGAACTAGAAGATAATTTGAAATAGAAAGTCTCTTTATTTTGAAGTGACAGTCTTTATCAAAATGGTTGGAAAACTCAAACAGAACTTGCTATTGGCATGTCTGGTGATCAGTTCAGTGACAGTGTTTTATTTGGGCCAACATGCTATGGAGTGTCACCATCGAATAGAAGAACGCAGCCAGCCTGTGCGGATGGAAAGTGTGAGAAGCACAGTAAGAACTGCTTCCAGTGTAAATGCAAACAAAACTTTTGCTTACAACAAAGACATGCCTTTAATATTTATTGGAGGAGTACCTCGAAGTGGCACTACCCTAATGCGTGCCATGCTTGATGCCCATCCGGATATTCGATGTGGAGAAGAGACAAGGGTAATCCCGCGAATTCTGGCAGTTAAACAGATGTGGGCTAGATCAAGCAAAGAGAAAATCCGACTGGATGAAGCTGGAGTCACAGATGAGGTTCTGGACTCAGCCATGCAAGCATTTTTATTGGAAATCATTGTGAAACATGGGGAGCCTGCTCCCTATTTGTGTAACAAAGATCCTTTTGCTTTAAAATCCTTAACTTATCTTGCTAGAATTTTCCCCAATGCCAGATTTCTTCTAATGGTACGGGATGGTCGTGCATCTGTACATTCCATGATATCTAGAAAAGTCACAATAGCTGGATTTGACCTGAACAGCTACAGGGACTGCTTGACCAAGTGGAACCGTGCTATAGAAACTATGTATAACCAGTGTATGGAAGTTGGTTTTGAAAGGTGTATGCTGGTGCATTACGAACAACTCGTATTGCATCCTGAAAGATGGATGAGAACTCTCTTAAAGTTTCTTCGCATCCCATGGAACCAAGCAGTGCTACACCATGAAGAAATGATTGGAAAAGCAGGGGGTGTTTCTCTTTCAAAGTGAGTATGAGTGTTCCTCCTTTACCTTGCTTTGCTCTAAGAGGTAAAAGAGTACGTTTTGCATATTTAAGACTAGTTATAATTTGGTTTCAGTTTTTAAGTAGCTAATGATGTATCGGGAAGCTGATTTATGATTCATATTATCTGGAAAGTAAGAGTCATTGTTAACTAACAATTTGCAATCAGATTGCTCTCACTAAACAATTGTCATGCTAAAGTGTATGAAGCATATGAATGAACTTTTAATTACTGCTCAATCTAGCTTGAATTTGGATGTCTGGTATCAGCCTTACTTCCAAAAGAGCTTTGCTTTTCTCTGTGACCCAAAATAAAGCTGGACTGTTTTATCTAGGCTGGTGTTATTTATCCTAGCAAGATCACCCATTTGATTTCAAGAACTTAAGTATTGTTGTCAATGCAAGAATGGCCTTTGAGTTATATTTGCCAAGAACATACTCTTCCAGGAAACTTGAGAAACTGTTCCAACAAAATAGAAAGCAGAATTGGCGTGTTTTTCTGTTGGCATGTGTTCCTAAAAGGACAAGCATTTTGAAAAAAATTAACCTTCTTATAAGCAAATATCTTTGTATTCTGTTGTGCCATCTGTGCACCTGATTTAGCTACCTTCAGAAACCAAAATCTATATCTGTTTAGAAAACCTAGATAGGTATTGTGAAAAGAAAAATAAAGTTAGTTAATTCTCCAGTTAAACTACTCTGGTTTCTTTGCTGCTATTTACAGCTGAACAGCAGAAGTATGGGAGCTGACTAGTCTTTATATCGAGGGGGAAAGTTGTGGATGTTTGAATCTCTCTTCCCATTTTTGCTATGGCAGATACATCTACCAGAATGTCTTGTTTAAGCTTCTAAAATATTGATTAAAAAGCCCTGTTCCAGCAGCAAGGCATGCCCAGTTAAATATCTTAGCTTCTGTTTTTTAAATATTCATCATTGGCACACTGCTTCGGAGTGTCAGACACCTTGCGTGGCAAGCAGTGTGGGCTGGGTAGAGGCATATCGAACTGTTGAATACAGAGTGACTGAGGTTTTCTTAAAACTAGTTTTAAATAAAAATTGGGAGATTTTGTTTATTTAATGCCTAGGGAAGTGACTGTGTGGATTTTCTAATGTATTGTAGGGGAATACGATTTAAAGCAAATAAAAGAATTATTAGTCAGAGGCTACAGAGATAACTTAAAACTCAGATAATGGTTATATATTTTCAATCTGGATGTTTTGCATCACCATTCCCACTGAAGAAGCATAGCCACCACCACTGTGTTTGGAGAACTATCAAGAAGTTGTCTCAAGCCTTTTTTTTTGTGGTATTGTTCATTAGTAGGTTGAAGCCTTCTGATAGTGTTAACCTGAAGCAGTGTACTGTTGTATGGCTCTGCAAACTATCTGCATGTGAACTTCTCTTTAGTTGCCTGTATCGTGTTACTGCTTCACAGTGGCAGCTGAGGGGGGAGTAAACTCCCTTTTACTGATCTAAATAGGTGGTTGCCAAGTTCTGTTAAGTGTCCTGTAAAAGTAACGATGCATAATGCCATCTTCATTAAAATACTACCTTAGAGCTTCCAGATTAGCATTTTTAAAAATTAATGAACCTCTATACTATAAAACTCAGTAGCCTTACTGAATTTGTAGTTTCAAGTAATATTTCTTGCTAAATCTGGTGGAATGGAATGTGAGGAGTTGAGAATACTTGTTCGTGTCTCTAAAAATTAGGATAATGGATTGTTGAAAGTAAAATGTGGCTTCATGTTAATTTTTGAATCAAACTTTCAAATTTAAGACAAATGAGTATGAAAGTGTTCTTGTGACCTGCAATTCAATCTGTTCACAGAATTCTTTATGCTTTTATTATCTTTCATGAGATGATATGTGAAAGTAATTTATTATTTCAGAAGGCTCTTGCAATAGTAGAAAAAGAATGGGTTATTAGTGTTGTGTCTGTGGTGGTTTTTATCTAGTCAAATACCCTTGAAATAAGTGGTGAGATTTGTTTTTCAGTTGCAAGAGACCTTTATAATTTGATAATGATTTCAGTGACTCAGTCTTTCGAGGGCTGCAGAAAAGTCAGTGAATATTAAATTCTCTTAGATGTCTCTTTTGTGTATTTATATATTGTGCAGGAGGAACTTAAGATTTCCCAGTTTGATGTACTTGTACCAGTTAACACCACCTGCTTTTGGCATCCCCAGTTCCTCACTGTGCTCTCATGTGCAGCAGAGTGTTGTGGACAGGGATGGCTGCCTGCCTACGGGGTCCTTGTCCAGAGCAGGGAGTAACTGCCCAGAAAAATTACTCTTTGAAAAGATGTTTGCTAGGTAGTTTACTGAGAACTTTAGGTCTTGACACAGCTTATCAAATGTGGGCAGCTGAACAAAATACACCTTGCATTAGACTTAGTTTTCCTTCTATCAAATTGCATTTGGCTTGTTCTCAGCTGCAGCAAAATTCTTTATGGCCTTGGGTGTGTATGGCTGTTACGCTCTGGATCAGGTTTAACCAACACTGTTCTCTCATGTCTTAGAATTTCTGTTTGGGCTTACTGGAGAGTGCTCTTTACTTCACAGTGTGAATACTGTCTTCTTTCAGTTGAAACAACAGAGCTGAGCAGTGGAGCTCCATATTCTGATTAGTAGCTTTCTCCTGCCTGCCTTTCCAAAGGATGGCACTGAAGATCACTTCAGATATAGTCTAAGGAAATTCAAAATGATGCTGTTTATTGCAACTCGTGTCTTCTCACAGATCTTTAATTTACCACATGCCTGGTACCAAGTGCTTCAGGCTGTTTCATAATAGTATATTAAAATCAGAACACTCAAATTATATTACAGTTTTTACTGGCAGGAGGAGGAGATTGTAAGTACCAAATAATCTGTACTGAAATGTGGCATGCAGTTAAAAGTTACCAACACATAGGCCTAGCCTCTATTTCATAGTAGGGGAAGTATGGAAATCTAAATAAAATTATTTCCCTGTTTGTCTGCAAGGTATTAGTTAGGGTAGAAAACCTCTGAAGTCAAAGACAAAATGAACCACTATTACAATTTGCAAAGGCTGTGATACTGTGTAAAGACTTAATTAAATGCACAGAGTAACCTGTCTCAGTCATCATCTACTCACTGTTAAGACTTTCAGATCTTTCAGACAGCCTCAGCAGCTGCTTAAGAGGCATGATACCTGCTCAGGTCAGGTCCAACATAAGATTCCTGGATGTGTTTTAACTGTTGGAAGGTTTTTGAAAAGAAATCTGACAAGAGGTTGTTGTCTTGAAATATTTAAAAACACTTAGAGAAAGAGATTGCAGTATTGCTAAGAGATCTTTATAATGCTGTTATTACCCAGTAACCGAAAGCCAATGGTTAAAAATATATTTTTAACTCATCTGAAATGAAATCTGTAGCAGATGAGTGAGGCTCTAGGTCAGTGTAAGGTGTTTTATTTTCAGTTGTATATAAAGTTAAATTGTGCATGCAGGCTGTTTCTCTTCTAGAGATGAGCCAGCTACCCAATGGCTTCCAGAATTCTTCAGGCAGCGAGCTGATTCCATTTTTCTCTTTATTCCAGACTCAGAAACTCTTATGCAATAGTCTGTTAGTAGCACTATTAGATACTAGGCAGTCTGTGCTTAAGATTCTGACTTTGTCTGTTCCCCTGGCTGCTTGACTTGAGGAAATGGTTCGCTGCCTTACTCTCTTCTCCTGCATTTGCTTAGTAATCCCTGCTTTTTCTGTTGCTCATGGAGCCCTAGTGTCACAGTAGTTCTATTTTACTTAGTATTTTTGCCCCTTATTTTGGTTTTTATCCAGCTGCAAGGAGAAACATTGCAATGGTTTTAAGGATGTGCACCGCAGCATTTGTAGTAGCGGGAAACCTTCTGTGGTTTGAAGTAATTGCCAGCGTGGCTGTTCAAGGAATGTATTATGGCTGGACTACATGCTATAACTAGTATTGTTAATATAGCTCTGGCATTTGCCTCCTAACTGAAAACAGCTGTGGTGACCACTGATGCAAAGAAATGTCAGCCCTTTTATAGCAATTTTTATTAGGCTTATTATGAAAATAGCTGTCTAGGCAAAATTGTTTCAGAATATACTATTTTTAATACATACCTTTCATTTGATTCTAGTACAGATGTAGAAGTGTTGAGAGTTAGTCCTGTGTTCCATGCTACCAGCTGCTTTCAAAGCTGAATCTGTTCCTGTGGTTTTGCAGTGGAGCCTGGAAGCACTGACCAGGCAGCATTTCCCACATGCATACATAACCAAATTTGCCAAGACTTGGTATGTTTCCTTGTTTTGCTGTTTTTTGCAGTGTTTTTTTCCTCCTGTCCCCAGTCTGCCCTCCCGCATACTTCTCAGATGTTCTTTGGTCTGAAGAATCTTTCCCACGAATTGTATTTCACTTTTCTTCCCACCTTAACTGAAAGGACAGAAAAGGATTTAAACAGAAGACCAAATGTGGTATAGCATATTTTTGAATCAGTGCCTAGGAGCAGCTAAATGTAGCTCCCTGCTTATCTCTTGCCAGCTATTAATCACCAGGAAATGTTTCATGCTGAGCTTATTGTTACCAAAGACTAAATTGACAGTGGAACAAAACATACACATTTTAAATGTTCTTTTGCTTCAGGATGAGTGTATGAATTTAGGTCCTAACTGATGTATAGTTCCATTGTTTTGGGGTTCCAATAAGTTGTTGACCAAGCCCATTACCTAGTTCTCAGTATCACCCTTATTTTAAATGGTCAAATCAATCTGCAGTTTTGGGAATGAGATTTTGGGCTTGGCTGGCTCTGTCTGAGAAAGGGAGAGGACCATAAATCTTACACTTCTCAAACACTTAGTGATGAATTTTTCTTGAGGGTCTCAGCCAGCATGGTTCTGTGGACTCTTCCTGACTGTTCTGGTGCTTTATCCTCTTCCTTGTCACTTTAAACTTCTGAAACTCTATTCTTAGCAGCTATTTTCTTGCTAATTCGTTGTGAAGTCAGATGCTTATCTTCTAATTAGAAGGATCAAAAAGGCAATGCCCAGACTTTTTAGTTTGCTATACAGACTTGTGATCTTGGGCCAGTAGCCTTCAGAAAGGCTGAAATGCAGTTACAACTCCCTGGTCCCCAAATCCCACTGTTGAATCCTGCCTTCAGTTTGAGCTACCGAAAATGGTTGAAGAGAGTGAGGCTTAAAATTCTGGGGGTTGTCTTACAGTTTATGGTTTGTCAGGTGCTTACTCATCAGCTTCTGTTAAACACCTTTTGCAGCAATCTGTGAAGGTCCTGCTTGCCAAGACAGTTTCCCCAGGGGTGACCATTTCCCTGTCTGGTTTGTTCTTTGTTGATTGTGTTTAAAGTACTTAAGTTAATGACCTTCCAGCACTGTATGACTAACTTCCTTCCTCTGCCCTGGAAGAATTTTAGCTATGATAAATAAAAAAGGGTAACAAGGTAAAGACTGGTGTTAAGATCAAATTGAGTTAATGACTGGCGGACATGCACGCATAGTTTGTAATTTAAGGCTTTCATTGCCCAGTACGGTGTGCCTCCGAATGGGATGCCTCTTGCCGTTGATTTTATGTTTGTCTGTTGTGCAATAGTTCTTCAGCCTCTTCTTGGACTCATGAAGTTAATTAGGTAACTGTAATCAAACTTGTTCCCCTTGTGAGTTGACCGATGTCAGTCTTGAGAACAGTCTGACTTCAGTTCAGGCTTCTGGACTCGGAAACTATCAGGAGTATTTCAGGAAATTACCATTTATTTTTCTCAGATGATGTTTTCTCATATTCTGCCTACTGTATTACTGAAGAATTAGCTGCTTGAGAATGAATTTGATTCTCAGTGTTCTCATTCTTTATCTTGTGTGGATGAGGTACTGGTATTATACTCTGAACTGTTACTTTCAAGTATAACAGTTTCATTTTCAGGGTGGTAGAGCTTTTTGAGATCAAAATTCTTTATGATGTAAATAAGGCCTGTGAAGGATGATAGCTGCAAGTAGATGTGACAGCTCTATGCTAAGCATCAGGTTTGAGGCAGGTAGAGCCATCCAGCATACCATATGGTATTGCTTGCAGTGCACATGCAAATATTCCTTTAGGCAACTTGTATATACAGACCTGATTTTCAATCTGCCTCAAGAGAAAGATAAACCTTGACATCCAAAAATGCATGTGCATTTTCTGAGTTCAGAAGAAAGTTTTAAATTATGCAGAGTAAAAACTGAGAGTTTTAAATTACTCAGACTGTTCTGAGTCCTGCTGGCCTGTTTCAGAAATAAACACAGTAAGAAGTTGTACCTTCTAATGTAAAATACAACTTTCAAGAGCATTTAAGACAATGAAACAGCAAATGTGGGAATATGCCAGTGGGAAAACACCTTTATATGTAGGTGTGTGCATACTTTTCACTTCACAGCTCTTTGGCTTTCACTGCTGCCTTTATGTAAAGAACTTGCTTCAGTACATTCTGTGTGAAAGCCTAAACCAGAAAGTATGCATGAATGTTGTGCTCATTATTATCATTTTAGCCTTATGTAGTAAAACTTCACTTCCCATCAGCTTTGTAGAAACATGAAATTTTGAGAGGGAAAGAAGAGGAAGGGAGGGAAAAAAAAAAAAAAAACAACAAACAAAACAAGCTAAAGGTCTTTGTGCTAGTGAAGGAGCAAGTATTGGTTGGAATGCAAAATAAAACCTTTCTTTCTCCCTCCACAGGGTTGAAAGGTCTACTGACCAAGTTATCAAGCCAGTCAATGTGGAAGCACTGTCAAAGTGGGTTGGGAAGATACCTGCTGACGTTCTGCAAGATATGCCTGTGATTGCACCCATGCTAGCAAAACTGGGCTATGATCCATATGCCAATCCACCAAATTATGGAAAGCCAGATCAGAAAGTTGTGGAAAACACAAGGAGGGTAAGACATTTTTGTGTGTTTAATTATTGACCAGATGGGTTTGAGCTATAGAGCAGAGGAATCCTATAGTTTCTTTTTTTAAGTCTATTTCTAATACCTTTTGATATACTCAACATTAAGTTTTCCTTGCTGTGGGGGGAAGAAGGGAGACTTCTGTGAGACCTTGAGCACTGAAAGTCTGTCTCCTGCTGTTTGTCTTCAATTTGGTTCATCTTCCTTTACCCCAAGCCCAGGCTTGAGCTATGTTCTTGGTGTATGCAGTTGAACCTCTTGTGAAACATCTAGATAGTTGGGGAAGTACTTAGTAGTGGAAGACAGCTAGCTTTCTCACCTGGGCATCAAATTGGATTGATGAGCTCAGTTTTTTATACATAAGGGTTGGCAGAAGCTCTGTCACAAAATTATACCCCAAAGTACTTAATAGAATTTTAAAAGTGACCCATGGAAAATGGCCCAAGATGATCAAAAAGTCAGATTTTCCAATTCTTTGCTGTCCTTTATAGAACAAACAAAAGATGGAGGAAGGTGTGGTGCTGATTAACTTAAACTTAAGGATTTTAGTTTGAAATTAATGTTGTAGGAATTTGAATAGTTAGGCTATACAGCTGTTTATCCCTGGAGGTATCCATTGAAAAGCTCATTACCATTGTTTGAAAGAAGAATAATAAACTCTTTACTTCTGTTCTTTTGAGAATGTATACTTTATTAAAAGAAGGTGACTTTTGCTGCTGCAGCAAAGTAATCACTGGAAAAATTGAAATAAACAATATAAAGGGACTGTCTTCCACTAGCCTTCCAATATTAAAAAACAACAACAAAAAACCCAAAACATTTGGTTGGTATGCTGATGGGTAGATACTAAAGAAAAAAAAAAACAAACACTTTTTGTGAACTCTTTAAACATTTTTGCATTGTTTCTTTTTAGAAGCTCTCCCTGGGAAACTGTCATTAAACAATCACTGTATTAAAGCATGACAGGTTGACTGTTTTAACAGTCATTAGCTCAGCACGGAAAAGGTAACCTACCTTTTCTGGAAGGGGTAGTGGTTTCCTGGCAATTACTCTTTTAAAAGACTGACAGACAAACTAACTTTTCTGCACTCAATTCAACCCTTTTAAAAAAAAGTGTTCAATACCATCTCACAGAGCCTTGAAAACAAAATCCTCATTTGTTTGCAACCCAAGACAACATTTTAATTTTGTTATTGTAGTACCCAGTATGTATTTCCTAGTCACTTGTTCTTTAACAAAATTACTTTTGCATATATGGTTTGTATAAGATAAAATGAGGGAGATGTCCTGAATTAAGACTAAAATCCAAAAAAGCAAAAGGATTAAAGATGGCTAATCTTCAAAATTTACAATATTCCTTTGAAAATGGAGAAACATGAGGCTTTCAAAATGTTGCGTACCCCAAGGAGCCATTTAAAATGATGGCTCACATCAGTGTTGGAGTTTGCATTTGGACAGCTTCAATTCCTCCCCAGTCACTTTGCTTTGTTTCCTCTCAGCTGGTTCCCAGCAAATCCCTGCTCAGACCATTAGGTCCTCTGTCTTTCTCTGTGACTATGGAAATGCTGATGTCCTGACTTCCCAAGGTTTCACAATTTAAGGCTTCCCAGCTCCCAGATCAGTTTGCTGCTTTCAGTACCTAAATCTCAGGGCAGCAGGCTCAGCACCCTCTCTAGCAGTGCCAGGCTTCCTGGCCATCATGTGTCTTGCATAGTAGATTGCCAAAACGCTGGCCACTGAGCTTGGCCTTGAACAAAGCAAGTTTTGAAATCACTAATATTCTGGTTGGTGATCAGCAGGAACTGACTCAGTTCTGAAAAATGCTTTGTTTTGTTTTCCCCCCAGCGTTATTTTGTTTTTATTTGGGGATGGGGCACAGATACTTCAAAACACTTTAAGGTGTTTGAGGAAAGGGGGTTGGCACAGCAATTAGAGAGAGGGAACTGTGGTGTGTTTTGCCCATCAGCGATGGTATATGCTGCCCTGTGGGTTTCCCCTGCTCTTCCATAAACCTATGCTAATTTAGTTCTTGCTGCTGCAGCTTAGAGAAGAAGGCATTTATTGGCGGGGGGGAAAAAAAATATTGATACAGATTTTTCCAGCCTTTAGGAACTGGCACTTGGCAAGTTAAGTGTGTTTATTTCACTCTTAGCTGGTGAATTTGTAAATTACTGTAGCACGACTTTAGTTCTTGCTCCCTCTTAAAATTTCTTCATCTGGGGTAGTCTTTGACAGAGTTTTGGACTGGGTATATTGTTGGAGATGAAGCTGTCCAAATAAAATCTTTCCAAAGTTACTCTTCAGTACAAAATAAGTATATAAATCTTGCATGTAACAGTTTGTTGTGTCACTTTGTGTTTGAAAACTGTTCTATTATATTTACATCTGTGGTCTCTGAGAACTTTAAATTGAATACAAAACTTGAATTTTATTCATTGAAAACAGATAAAGTTCAGGCTTCTAAAACTGAACTATATTGTTACCCAAAAAGGGGATTCATGCCCAGCATGCAATAAACCCATCTTAACATGCTCAGGAGAGAGATTGTATTTATTCAGGCCTGGGTGCTTGGTGGAATTTTCCACAAATCAAGCACACCCAACAGCAGGTTTTGGTGCTTCCTTTTTACACAAAAATCAGAGGTTAGTACTTTGCCAAACATGCCTATTAGATATTGATTGGTTAGTGATTAAAATACAATTACAATACAGCTTACATCATGCTTCCATCATTACACATGCTCAGGGGAAGGGTCTTAACCTGGGCAGGGGTCTCTTTTGACCCATGGGTGTGTTCTTTAGTATTCTAATGAAGGTAGTGCACTTTCAGGACACTTTCAAAGTTAGTTACGCTGCCAAATTAATTAATTGATTAGTCACTTTGTCAGCTTGTCAGATAATTCACCCTTAACACAGTCAATCCCTGACATTCTTGTTATGATCCAATGATTTACCTGTTTTCCAGAGTTTGGAGATCAAAGCTTATTCTTCCTGGTTTCCTTACCAGTACTCAGGGTCATCTCAGCCATGATTCCTGGTCTTGCTTGACTGATCTTTAAAGCCTTGTAATTGTTCCCATGTGTGCTGTAACTATGGCTACCAGCAAATTTCAGTGATACTAAATTACTGGCCATAGCCACCTGCAAGTGTGAAGTATACTCTATCAATTTCCCCCTTTGAGACTTATGATGTTATAAACAATGTAAGTCTCGTATCATTCCTTTATAGGTTCTTGGTTTACAAAGTGACATACACTGAATTAAGCCCCAAGTTACAATAATCAAAATTAAGTAAAGCGCAGCCATTTGAGATAGGGAAGCCATGAAACTAGCCAAGAGAAATTCAGTTCTTCTTGTTCTTGAAATTCGAATGCCAAGTCTTTCAGTTGTTGAATTTTCTTTTCTATCCATTGAGAATTGTCTGCTAAATTAAAACAACACATCTCTTGAAACTCCTCACAGCCATGATTGTGTCTAAGTAGTAAGTAATCAATTTCTGGCCTGTTTTCAAGAGTAGCTTCCCTTGTTTGTGCCATATGGGTTCCAATCGCTGTGAGTGGCTGTGAAGTATAATTTATATCTTTAACTAGGGCACAAGTAATTCTTTTTATTGTGTGATAATTCATAGCCACTCCAACTCCAGGAGCAAGTATAGCTGCTGCTGACATTTCACTTGAACTATATAGAGTGACTTGGGATTCACCGTCCTCAGATACCTGATGTGCACTTCTCTTAACTCGTTTATTATGTTCTAAATCTTCTTTATTTAATAACAATGGAGACATTCTTCCTATGGAACATGATCCTCACATTTGCTGGTATGTAGGTATATGCCAATTGTTCACATAATGAAAACCAGCCTATATGTAATCTAGTATGTGCCTAGGCATAACTTAAATTTTGAGTGGTATTGCAGCTTAGAGGAGGCTTCAGAAGTGTTAAATTCTCACATTTCAAAGAGCAATTTATAAACTTGACACAACGCATCACAGGGAGTGTTCCTTGCACCTTCATTCTTAACATCCCTTTTTTGACTTTGGTTGCTTTTCCCACACTGAATATATTAAAATAAGTCAATTTGGCATCAAAGTTTCAGAACATAGTACAGTTCTTTAACAACTCTCAGGGAGTTGGTATTCCTACAAGACAGGAACTATACATTCTTCCTACTGACTTTTCTGTTGATATACAAAAGGAAGATGTATTGGTTACTTCTCTGGCTAAAAGTTCCCAAATACTTAAATCTCTATCCCATTCTGGCATCAAGAATTGAAGCTAATGAAAGCACTAATAAACTTAGTAAGACTTTGATCTCCATTCTGAGCAATCTTAGCAGAGGTTAAATTCTTTGTACAAGTAGGTTAATATGATTATTCTCCCCTTCAATTATAAGGATACAAAATACAAATATTCCTTGTATACAATCCAGATGAATAAATGATTCAGCAGCATTCCAGGTGCAATTCATTAATTGTGTTTTAAAGATAAATTCAGTGGTCCTTTAGGTACTGATGTCCACAGTCCAGGAGGTGTCTTTTGTTTTAAAGTTAATAGATCCAGGGTTCCACTCCTCTGAGTTTCACAGCAGTGTTTGTAGTTAGGAACAGTTGATAGTGTCCTTTCTACTTCAGGGGGATTTTCCTGACATGTCTGTAGGTAAACTTGATCTCTGGGACAGAAGGAGGATACTGGGAAATCAAGGGGTACAGGTGCTCTTAAAAGCATGTATTTCTGGGTGGAACTCAATACCTGTTTAAAGATCAAAGATAATCAGTTAATACATTGTCCCCTACTATGCATCTGTTTGGGCTTCCCTGTCAGATTGACATAAAGTTTGCCATACAGAATTTTGAAAGGGCTTATCCTTTCCCTAGTTCTGGGAGTCACCCTAACCCTCCATAGGTCAAGTGGCAAAGCTTCAACCCATTTTAATTGGGCTTACTGTCATAATTTAGAAGTTTGTCATTTTAGTGTTTGATTCATTCTTTCT